GAAATACTGTACGTAACTCTAATAATATATTATACAATATCTATAAGTTATGTCATAATCTATTATAACACGTGTTTTACGCATATCTATAGGAATCACATACGAATAATGCATAACAATTTGATAAATTTATTTCAAATGATTTTTAGGTAATTGGGAAATGAATTGATATGGAGTGCCAACACAACAGGTGATAAACAGGACAGTCAGCAAATGGAGTGTATGTGCGAAAAGAGAGAGACGTACATACAATGGCAACAATGGTGAGCCAAATCACGCTCATCGGCCCAGAACTTGCATCCCTTCCCTTTGATGGCAACAATGTTTGCATGACGTGAGCTATTTATGCAATTCTGTGACCAACTGCGCTAATACATGACGGCATTTGGTGTGCAATACATTCGTGATACCGGTGCTCAACAACAGCACTTACACATGACTATGCTTTTCGTTAGCCATACATTTAAAACATCATTTAAATAACACTTAAATTGTAATATTGGATCTCAAAAGTTATTAATTTTGTTGCAAACCATAGTCTCAATATATACATATAATATACATACATACATACATATATATATAGTATATGTTATATAATATAAGTTAATACAGTATAATATTATGATAAAATCGTGTATCCCTTTTGCACCACATTATTCAGTAGCTCAGCTCGTATTAGTTATATCCTAATTCTGGCGAATATTTTACAGCAAAAATTTTACTAAAATCGTTGTTATAAATAATATTTAAACTGTTTTTATATGTAACAGAATATATATTTTTTAAATATACCTTAAATGCAAAACCCGTAATTTTTATTCAATTTTTATCTTTTATTAATATATAATATTAAGAAAAATTATATTTCACTTTAAAAAAAATAATTTGTATTTTTTTAGTAATAAATTTATTTATAAATTCATGAAATTCACAGCTGAGAGATAACTTAATATCAAGTCATGATATCCATGTTGAGTGTATTTCTTTTAGAAAAAACACATGTATAGTATGTATCACTTGATTTGAAAATACTGTATATATTTAAACACATTGTATACTTAGAAAAAAGTGTGAGAAAATTATTTTAAACAATTTTTTACTCTCTCAGTCTCTCTCAGTCTCTCTCGGAATCAATTAATTTATTTTGCAAACAAAATGCTTCACCTGTTGGTCGAGACTATGAATTGTGTGTTCACTGCAAGTGAGGCAAAAAATATCAATTATTTAACAATACCTTTAAAAATAAATATAATTTTCAAACTATATTATGTTTACAATTCATATATTTGTATTCAATTATATACATACAATATATATTTCATATATAAATTATAGATTTTAGATTTAAAAACATTTTCAATACAAAAAAATATATATGCACATTTAAACAAGCATTTATTTAGTATTTAAAAACATTTAATAAACATAAATAATAAGTAATATAATATCATAAATTACATATGTATCATGTATATGACCACAACATTATACCACATTAATATATTATTAATTATTGTATTTTATTCGCTGTATATATATTTATACTTTATTAGTATAAATCTTATCTAATTATTTTACTTTATATTTTAGCGCACCTGTAGCCTCTATGTTAAAATCTAAATACCACAATTATTTATAAAACACTTGATGTAAACTTCTACAAACATAGTCTTTATTTTGAATAATATTAAAAATAGAGATTTAATGATAATAATAATCATAACTAATGTCATGCATTTTGTAGCTTATTTTGCATAATGTATTTGGTATGTTATTTTCGTATGGCATTAATAATAATATTATAAGACATATATTTTGTTTGAAATGATATATTTGTGATTATAAAGTTTGTGAGCCGACTCTCCAATAATAATGATTTGTTTGTCTCAATCAAATTGCTGTCAAAGATATTTCTATATTTCGGATACCTGTATATTAGATAATATTTGTATTTTTCTTAATAATAATCTCTGTAATGTCAAACATGCTTCTATTAAATTAATTTTTTTTAAATTTATATCAAAATAATATATTACTTGTATATAAGTTAAGTTTTTCATAATACCTATAATAATCATTCATTTATATTTAGCAGCTGTTCCTCTTAAATAAGATAACTAATGAAATTTTTGTTGTATTAATTTTTTATCAATTTCTCCTATATTTTATCAATTTGTATGATATATATTTTTTATTGTATTTAATCAAAAAATCATAAATAATTTTTTAAAACTAAAGCAATAATTAATATAAAAAATTTGTTTGTATCAATATTTTAATATAAAAATAAACATTAAGTAATATATATAAAAACTATAATTTATAATCCAAAAAATACAAACACATTTTATTTTTGAAAATATTTAAAATTGAGTGGTAATTAAGTTTAAGCAAATTTTCACATATAGTAAATCCTTTTAGTCAGCAAATAAACAAACTTAAAAGCAAACATTAAGTGTATGTAAGTGAGTGAGTGAGTGTGTGTGTGTGTGTGTGTGAGAGAGAGAGAGAGAGAGAGAGAGAGAGAGAGAGAGAGAGAGAGAGAGTTGATTAAAGAAGAAAGAAAGTTATTATCACATAATAAAGATTACGTGAAAAATCGCGAAACAATTTTCAGTGCAATTAACATAAAATGAATATTCAATGAATGTTAATGGATATTATTAAGTTGTTGGTTGACTACCAAAATGCATATATTTGGTTAAACAATAATAAAATTTGATAAAAATTTCGGCAAATATTTTTATTTTTTGATAAAAGCTTTTTTGAAGACATTGCTTGAAGGCACCGCTATATCATAATTTTAGACACAAAGATAGACATTGGGACACAGTTTATACATTATACAGTAATTCATACATTAAGTAGTGTTTAGTGGTGAACAAGATTTTGTACTTAAAATTTTAAAAACACTATTTTTATGGTCCAAACTATGACTTTCAACACAATTAAGGGATGAGCTCTCAAATTAGATTTATTTACAATTTTCCAATACTGATAACTCATACCTGTGCTATTGAATGATCTAAAAGATCAATATATTTTTTCGTTAAGTGCTTTTTTTATAAAAAAAAACTTTAATTTTCTTGACTTTTGAATTAACACACAAATATAATACATGATTCATGAGCTCAAATCAATGGCCAGTTTATAGCGGGGACAGTCGGATATAGGAGTGCACACATACATACACACACCACCGGTCCATTATTATACACTTCAGAGCGATAATGTGTCTCATTTATAAAGTTAATGATAATGGTATTATATTTCTATAGGTGCTTACTAAAGGTGGCAATGATTTTCAATGCACATTAATAGCAAATAATTGGATGGAAATTAATTTTATTGCCTATAATTTTTCCAGCTTTGGTCAAAAATATATTCATCACCGACTAAACATTGAAGCAAACAAACACATAAATCTAACGGCAATAATCATAATCATATGATTATATATGAAATAAGCGATTAAATGACCAGAAAATGTATATTTTTATTGTGTGCACAGGTGTGTGTGTGTTGTGAATACAGGGTGTCAATGGAAATATGCACCGGTATCAATATAATTTGGTGATAATTTAACGACTATTATTAAATCAAAGACTAATCACTGCTGATTATTGGCTATTAAATTAGTAAATTATTTTTTATTTATTACTTGGGTTTAAAATCTAAGTCACTATTTAATACAGTCTCTCTCTCTCTCTCTCTCTCTCTCTCTCTCTCTTTCTGATTCAATTACATTAATCAATATTAATATCTTAAAAATGGCAAATCACAATATTTTTTTAAATTTTCAAATATTTAAGTATGTGTTTTGAAAAACATGTATTTAATTATCATAATAATACGGGTAAATAAATTTAAAAATCTTTTAGCTATAAGACTGTCAATCATTCAATATATTGATGATTGTTATATAAATGTAATTTAAAATTATGTATAGCCATATAAAAAATTGGTAATTTTTATGTTCAAATTATACCAATGATTGTAAATTACATGACATATCAAAAGCCCTATCAAACACTAAATACTATTATTGATAAACTGGCAAAAAAAACATTGCAAATCAAATCAATTGCTATTTTCAACGCCAACACAAATCTGTATCTTATCATATATGCCACACAATAAATAAGGTTTTTAATACAAAACTTATATTAGATAACTTATTTTGGTCAATATATAGCAATTGAACTCTATTATGGTAATACATACATAAATATGGATGAGCTTTAACATACATGAACTTATAATATATTGTGTTTTTATTATTATTATTTATATCTATGATATTATTATATATTAGTTAAATAAGTCTTTATTCTATTATACTGAACGTAATCATTATTTTTCTAAATATTCAAATTGTATTGCAAATGAATTTCATTAAATGACAATTTAGATATAATATAATTTACTAAATGCTATAAACCTATTACCATAAAATAGAGAGCAAAGCAAATACATAATTAATGGGATATGAATTTTTGTTTTTATTAAAAGTATAGCTAAACATTAAATCCAAATCACGATTAAATCATTTAAATATTTTTACAAATCATTTAATTCTATAGACATATATTTATATAAATATATGTTTATATATAAAATGATATATTTGCTGGATTTTTTGTTTATTAGGAATTTGAACCATTAAATAAATAAATAAACAATATATTTTATTACTTTATAAAGATTTATTATTATTTTCCTTATCATTTTAATATTTAATATCATATTATAATACTGTAATAATAAAATATGTACAATAATTGTCTTAAATATATACAACTTAAAATTTAAATTAATAATAAAGTTAATATTATACATATCTCCCATATTTGTTATATAATAATTATAAATATTCATTGATTTTTTTATAAATATAATGTCAATTTATAATTTTAGACAAATATAAAAATCTACAAAAATATTAATTAAACTCTCAAAAACTTGTAAGCATTAGTCAATTATTACAATAAATGAATTTACATATTGAGAAACATATGTCGATGTTTGGACAGTGTTTGTGGTGAAGATCCCTGTGCTTGAAGTTTGTGAATAACAGCCAACTCTAATTGTGAGATTAAGTTGACGGCCTCATTGATAATCGTTAGTTTGGATACATTGCGGTGTGCAATGGTTGGCACACAATCCCGAAGTCGACGGTATTCCCGATAGAGTATCATTCGCTTTCGGTTACGGCGCTCACAGTCTATCAATATATTGCTTATCCGTCGGCTTTTAGCGCACCGACACCTCAAAGCTTCAATGGAGGGCGATGTGGGTCTGTGGCCAGTAGTGGTTGTTGTTGTTGTTGTTGATGATGACTGCAGTTGACTCAACACTTTCTTGTGGCCGCCAAACGGCTTTTGATTTGATTTATGTGTCATTTTATTTGTGATAATCAAAGTCCAGTAAATTATTATAATTTAATGATATCCGCGATCAGAAACAACCAAAAATAATAATATTTTGTCACAAAAATATTAAAAGTATATAATTTGCACTAAAAATATGTCTGTCTTATCTGACTGACTGTCTTAAAATGAGCGAAGACTATAAAAACTAAGAGGAACTCTAGATATACAACAAAACACAACAACTTGTTTTTGCACTCAAAAGTTAAGGCACAGTCAGCTCAGTTGGCTGTTCTCGGTGTGAATGCCTGTAAACCAGTGAACTTTCCAACAATTTATATACACCGGAGTAGTAGTTGTCGAACCAGAATATACTCTACACTGAAGTCAAGCTTTTTTAATCATAGGGCGGGGATGGATAGGGCTCACCAATAGAGTTACACTAACTTTACATATGCGAAGCTGAATCTGTATCTAAACAGCCCGTTCCTCATGAGTGCTTTCCTACCTCTCTCTCCCTCTGTTACAAACATATTGACTGAATAGTCCCAGTGCTGGGATATTTTCTGGGCCCTACTATTACGGGCACATAATTTAAATACTTTAAGAGATTAGTGTTAAAGGTTTGCGTTATTTTTATTATACTCTCAAATGTATTCACAAATCAATCAATACCTGGACTCTACTTTTCACTCTTTCTATTCAATACATTCAGTACTATATTTGGGTCCAATTGATGTCAGACAACCTAAAAATATTTTTATGACATCAATAGTCCACTAAATGAACACAAATATCAATTTTACAACTAATTTATAACTATTTTAACATTACATACCATAAGTTTAACATATAATAAAAACATTTTAATTAAATCAATCATTTAATGATATGAACTACTGTTCAAAAGTTTTTAACTTAAAATAAGTGGCGATTAAAGCAAATGTAATATAATATTAATAATAGACAAGTATTTCACACATTTGTGTCAACAGATGGCAAACGGTATCACTATTTGTGTTGTATTTTGAAAGCATTGCCGTTACCGACACACGTGTGGCCATTGTTTGCGGTCAATCAATGGGTAAATTCAGTGCCGATAAGCGTGATATCTATTATCGATTGGCCAAAGAAGAGGGTTATCGGGCCAGAAGTGCTTACAAATTGATCCAAATTAATGAAAAATTTGATATCTTTGATGACGTCCATCGTTGTGTGGACTTGTGTGCGGCACCGGGCAGTTGGTCACAGGTTTTACACCGATATCTACATAAAAATGATGACACGAGTGATGGCCAATCATCGGATGCCAAGATCATAGCAGTCGACTTGCAAGCAATGGCACCAATTACTGGTGTTATTCAACTTCAGGGAGATATCACCCGATTATCGACAGCACAGCAAATCATTGATTACTTTGACGGTTCCAATGCCGACCTCGTGGTCTGTGATGGAGCACCCGATGTCACTGGACTTCACGACATCGATACTTATATTCAATCGGAGCTGTTGTTGGCAGCGCTCAACATAACGACTCATATATTGAAAATCGGCGGTACTTTTGTGGCCAAAATATTTCGTGGCAAAGATGTGTCACTACTATGGAATCAATTGAAGATATTCTTTAAAGAAGTTATTATCACAAAACCAAAGAGTAGTCGCAACTCGAGTATTGAGGCGTTTGCTGTTTGCAAACATTATTGTCCTCCCGATGGCTACAAACCAGTTCTGTTCAATGTATTGATTGACCAAAAATGTGACCAATATTTTAAAGAACTTGAAAGCGGTTCCAATAATCGACACATAATTCCATTCATCGCTTGCGGCGATTTGTCGGCCTTTGATTCGGACCGTTCATATCCATTGATTTTGACCGATAATCCAAATACAAGTGTCGGTGACGATGATAATCAACAACAATCAGTTGCTAACACATCGTATTCATACAGAAATCCTACGCAATCACCAATAGATCCGCCCTATAAAGTGGCACAAAGTCTTAAAAAGTCATCAGCACTGGAAAAACCAACCATTGATCACAAAAATTGAATGATTTTTAAAGTTATTTAAATAAAATAAAATTATATTTTAATAATTATATAATTTTGTTGTTTTTGTTTTATATGATTTTAATTAGATTCTCAGGTATTTTAACAAATAATCTATTAATTACTGTTAGTCTAATCATAAAAAATCTAAACAATACTTTCAAATAACTAAATCATAAAATAGTTGTCGTATCGCATAGTACTACCCAAACACCTAACACACTGTTAAATAATATAACAAAACTCAGTCTGAAATGTTTTACATAACATTTAGTTATTATGTAAAAGATATATGTTTTATTAATGCATCTATTATTGTATTATATTTGGTGGGCCCCTCCTGGATGTACTGCAATTCCAGGCCAACCCATAGCAAAGCAGGAGCACAGCCCCTTGACTTCGCTGTCCCGCAAAAATTAGTTTAATATCTTGACCCCCAATGGGAGTCGTATCAGATATTAAGCTGATAAGAACAGATACTACACTTTGATCTTAGCCAAAAGGCCGAGAAGCGATAACATACCACTCCTTAACACTACTGTCCCCACATTTTTCAATATATATATCATTACAACCCATATTATAATCAAATTAATTATTAATTTATAAATACTAATTGTTTTTTCCAATCAATATATGTAATCAATAGAAACCAATATTTAAGTTAATATTTTGTATACAAATCTAAAATAATTTATAAATATATTGTTTTTATTTAGTAATTTAGTGGTCAGTAATCATATAATATATTATAAGACTGTTTGCTATTATAATAGTTTGCAAACTGACTGTTAGTATGGATTAGATTGAGACCAGAGATGTCACTACAAGAGTGTAGTTAAGTGTTTGACTACTGTTTGAATGATTTGGTGGCAAATAATATATCAATCAATGAGTCAATCAATGTTTGCGATCAACAACTCATTGATGTCATTGAAAACGTGTCACACATTGTCTTAATTAAAACACGTATCACACGTGCAAAACAAGATATTACAGACCATTTGATGCGATAGTCAATGACGTGAAGAGCAATGGATCAAAACAAGAGCTTCATATTCGGTAAAAACTACGACTCAGACTACTTGTCCGGCAGACGACTGAACCGCAATCGCACCGACACATTGCCCGCAACTGTTGGCCACAAAAAGATTTTCGCTAAGAAACACAACCCGTACGACAAACGCAAAACTGCCAGACATTCTGCCGAAGCTTACGATACACTGGCCATGACTTCCAAATATTTACCGAAGACCAGTAAGCGTAGACTTATTTTGAAACCTGTAAAACACGAAAAAACACTTCTTGAAGATCAATATCAACAAAATAATGGTATATTTCTCAACGGAAAAGCATCTAAAGTTGTGGACAGGAATCAGATTCTATTGAATAGACAACAGTTTAAGGCAAGAATTCAAGAAGACTTGAGTTGGATTCTTAACAAACAAAGAAAAATGAGTTCAAAGACATTGTCGAGACCTTTAGCGGCGCCGCAAAAGTTGATTTCCAAAGTGAGTCGTCGGACAGTTTTCAACGAAAAGGCCACTCAAATGACTAATTCTCCGATTAGTTCATCAATTTATTTGAGTGATGACTACAATGACACCAATATTAATGAATGTCAATATTTTAATGGAGAGAATCCCGAAGATAGACGACGATTGAGTCAAACAAAAGTGCATTTAAATAATGCAAACAAAGAGTTTATAAGAGTTACCGGTAAAACAAATTATATGAATAATACCATTACGTCCACCAAAGTTATAGATGGACTGAAAAATAGCGATACAAAAGCTAATTTGATGAAAAAGACGACAACCAATGTTGTAATGCCAACCGTGCCATCGATTCTGACAATTGTCAATAATTTGATGAATTCATATGAAGAAGAAAAAAAGACTTTAGAAAAAAGAGATTCACATTTTGCAGAAAATTTTATTAATAAAATTTCTGATTTTTTTAATGGCATTTGTATCGCAAATAAGCAATCAATTGAAGATAATTTTGTTTACATTCAAAATCAAAGTTTAGTCGGAAGCCAACTATCGGTTATGTTATCGACGTCAATGTCTGAGAGGTCAACAAAATCCGTTGTTAATACAAAGGATGTTATTGATAATAGACGTGATATTTTGACCGATACCTCATTGGTTCCGTACACCGGTAGGTCACTGGACGCCAACCGTTCCTTTGATTTGATGAATTTGGAGCCAAAAGTGGGAAATATGTTCTCAAATATGTTGCTTAATATAAGTGAAGGTAAGTCTTAAAAATTATTAAATTACTAGAATTATGCAAATTATTAATTTTATTTTATTTTTACAGCATTTCAAACATTATCATCAAAATATAAGGATAAATCATTTGATAAATAAATCGTGTATTAAATAAGATTTATAATTAAATTATATAATAATTGTTTTGCTATTTAAATATATATATATTAGTTAGTATTTTTAAGTATTAAAGTTTGTTTTGATTTATCTATTTTTATAACAAATATTTATCACGAATTAAAAGATTATCATTTATAATATAATGATTCAATTACCGGTATATTTTAAATTTATTACACAATAATATTTAAATTATCACTACAATTACTACTATATTACCACTCATTGATTATGTTTAACTTATTTAATTAAAAATTTACATATAGTAGTACTAAATTAGTACCTGTAAGTAAAATATAGTTTGAAATTAATTTATTAGAGTAAATAAGTAATTAATTTATACTCATTATCAACAATACTCTATAACAAATTGATTTTACAAACATTTTAAAAACGCTTAACAAAATATCATTTAACCGACAAATGAATTATTAATAGTCTTCAAGATATAAATATGCAAAAGGCATCTGAAGGCAAACAATTAGAGGCCATGCCTTGTCTGCAAAGCGATACCATTTCAGTCAGAAATAAATCAATTTTAGATGAATCTGCTGTCGAGAATACGGGCAATGAATTGGTGTCAATCGGTTGTATGCCTCAAATGATTAATGGGATTTGCTTTCAAAATGATGACTTAATAGACAATCACTTGTTTTCAAAGAGTTATGGCCATACACTCAGATGCCGAGCTGCAGATGACATTATCACTGATCAAGAAGTGCAAAGTTTGAGTAAATTAGGTCTAACTGTGATTCAGATGTTATTAAAAGAAGGAAATTTTGCCAAAATATATCAAGCGATTCACGAGTCCGGCACTGATATTATCATCAAAAGAAGTCTTATTGATGGACAAAGTTTTGCCGAATTAGAGTCATTGAAATTGTTTGGCAATCAGATCACACACAAGAATATCGTCAGATTTTTTGGTTATCATCACTTTGGACATCATATTTATATGTTTATTGAATACGCAAATTATGGTGATTTGGCTGAATATTTGTGGCGTTGGTGTGATAGCAAAGATCTCAATGAAACAACAATTTATGAAATATTTAGTCAGATATGTAGTGGCGTTGAGTACATGCATCTCAACGGTTACGCTCATCGGGACCTCAAATTGCAAAACGTGTTGGTGTTTGACATTAAAAATGAAGATTCTTTAGTATATAAGTTATGTGATTTTGGATCATCTCGTCGTACTCTTCTGCAAACTGATGGCTCTATCAAACTGTCCACTACTATCGTTGGCTCATTAAGAACAATGGCTCCAGAAGTAGCTATTTGTGAATACAATCCAATAGTGGCCGACATATATTCATTGGGTGTCATTCTGTACCAATTGACACATTCGGGTTACTATCCGTTTGATTTGAGTCCAAGTGTTTGTTCAATCAAACAAAAGATTAAAATAATAACTCAAATGAAAATGTCATTCAATAGTCTGATTATTAAGAGCTCGGTTTCAAAACATTTAAATGATATGTTGGTCCGATTACTTGATCCAATATCCAGCACTCGAATCACTTTAAAGCAAGTGATGTCTCATCCGTGGTTTCTATCTAAACATTAGTTCAATTTAGTTCAAGTATAGTCAAATGCTATTAAAATTGGTTCAATAAAATTTTGTTTTATTTATAAAAATATGAATACAGTATATCTATCATAAATTATCAATAGTTAAAATCAGTTGAAATTATGTTAAGAAAACACAATACACTGTATTAAATATAAGATAATTATGTAATAAAAGATCAATTTGTTGAATGAACTGTTGGCAAACACTGCAACCAAATTGTTTTAATCAAAATACGAGCTCTAGTGTTGGCCAATAGTTGACAACCACATCCGTCGATAAGCTGACCATCCGGTGCCAAATGAGACGGTTTATTATTATTAGCGTATTTGTATCGACATGTTTGGTAAGTTTTGTTGAAAATGAGGAATGGGTTGATATACATTGAAAAGGCAACTGTTGCCAGTGCTGACAGTTTTGTCAATAGTATAGTCCGATCGCCGACATCTCTCAAGTCTTTCATCAGATTTCTTTTACTTTCTTTCATTTTGAATCGCTTTTGGATGACAGACAAAAACAATCGATTATTCAAATTAGTGGCCAATAATGCCGATAGTTTTGACCACATTTTCACTCAAATATCTATTTTATATGATATTGAAACCAGTTTTATGGCCAAAAACTTATGATAGCAGTCAATGGAATGACTTATTATAAGTTAAAATAATTAAAAATAATTAATTTTTGAAGAGTCGCGCGATATTTGCTTAATATTAATAGAAATGTGAACGAGAATTGAATTTAATATTTTAGTAATATTTTATTTTCAATTATTTAAATTTTAATTCATTTTTTATAATGATTTAGTTTGTAATCGTTTGCAATTATTTTAGTTTTTTTGCTTTAGTTTTGTTTGAGTGTTTCTTTTATAAATATATATAATACATATATTCTTGTATATTGACATCGATTATGAACAGTGACAACAAATTGCATCCAACTTTGGATAATGAAATTAAAGTGAATCTTCCGATGGAAAGACAGGTTTGGATTCACGATGTGATGAACTGTAAGGACGGCATACAAAACAACATCCATGTGATCAGTCATAACGAAGACATAGTTATCGAGAGTAGAGTTGATAACAAAGGAAACAACGAATTGAAAGTCTTTAGGAATAATCAACTCATCAAACATGTTGTCAATGGTATCGATAAACTCGAGACTAATTCACAAGAAAAGAGTCAACAAAACATACAAATCGATAGTACAGGAGCTCAGAGTAAACATCACAAACAGACTAAATAATTGTCAATTATTTTTATTTAATCATTCATTTATTTTATTATTAATTATCATTTAAATTATTGAAATATTTGTTGTATAATTTTATATAAAATATTTATGTATTTTTTAAATATATTTTTATTAAATTTTCTAAAATTTTTATTTAATGAATATTTTAATATAAATAAACTATCATTTACTACATACACATAATAAATATACACTTAATTGTGACTTTCTTTTATGATAATTAAATAATTATTATAAATTATAAATGTGTTTTGTTAAATACTGTATATTCAATGGCATTAAAATAATTATTAAGTCTAAAATACATTACAAGACAAATATTATAGGTTTTATATTATGATAAAGATAAATTTTAATTAATGGTTTATAATAAATTGATTAATATGATATAAATTACTAAATGATTAAAATTTTGTTAATCCTCTGTATTGGGATGTATGGCTCGACACAAACAAATTGATACAATAATACCAATCAACTAAAAATATGTTTATAATTTTGAATTAATATATAAAAACTTGCAATATTTGATAAATTAATAAAAGATTTAAAAAAGTTTTTAACAAAAATACTTACGACAACACCTGATAGTCCACAACCCATTACCACAAAAACCATTGATTCGGCTCTAATAAAGCGCTCGAGTTTATGAAGGCATCCCTAAAATTGATTTGAAAATAAAATGTATTTCAAAACAAAATTAATGAAAACTCACGTTTTGATGTCTGAAAATACGGTTCTCCACCTGATCTGATGATTGACAATACGCTTCATTGACTGGTCGGGGATTGTTGTGTGCCTGCGGTTCCAACTTGTTTTGCAACAGACAACAGGTTCGGCTGACATTTGAATTCATACCATTCATACGTGTCGTCTTCCATACGGATCGGTCATAATCTTTGGGACCATCAATACCACAGCATTCAAACTATAGTTAATAAGACGGGGTATTTGCGATACATTGAATGCGATTAACACTGTCATTGTCTTGGATTACCTTAGTTTGTGCCAAATCTATAGCCGCTGTAAATGACGAATGAAGTCCATAATCTGTCTGTAATTTATTAGTCAACTCTAGCTTTAGTTCGGCCACAACTTTCTCCTGAAATATTATAGCCAACACTCCGACTGTTAGTTCCATTGCAAAGATTACCATAAGAAATAGCGAATACTTATAATAGAAATAATAATTATGACATAATTAGTCTCATTATGTTGTTTCAAATTGATTACAATGATTAGTATCCAACGGTTCTCTTTAACGGCACCACAACAACCACAGAAGCCGATTAGTGCGATACCGGAGCCGATCACTATGAAAGCCCAGGCGAGCATCTGAAGCAATGCATAGTTATACTTCTCGACGACAAACAACTTGAATAGACTGGACCTCTCGTCTTCCACTAAGAAGAATATTCCCAAAGCAAACAACACAACTCCCGATGCCTGAGATGAAGAGACACAGGTTTGGTCGTCAATAAATATTTTTGTTTTATTATTGAAAACAACTATCGCTAGAAATTATTACCCAAAACACTGAATTGAAGATAATTAGCAATAATTTAGCACATTTTGCTCCACAACTTAATGCCATTTTTTTCTCAATTTTCATCCAAATTTTATCTTAAAAATTTTCCTAACATAAGTTTCATTGATTTACCGGTAATATATTATTTAATATTAAACACAGAATTTAATTTTATAAATATAAACTTTAAATAACATTTTAAAGAAAATACACATACATTTACTTTCTATTTTAAAATTATTAGATGTAATTTTAGAAATATATTTTTTATTTAATATTATTTAATTTATTATTATTCAGTTGCAGTGAAATTCATTCAACTTATCGGTGTTTTGCACATTCAATGTCCACATAAATTGATTACAACAATGCGTTCATTAGACCAATATATCCGCCAATTGTGGGTCTAATCATTGACTAAATTATATATATATATACTGTATATACCTGTAAATAGCACTGTATAATCAAGTGATGGGATGTGCATTACATGCTATACACCGATTCACTGTTTTGAATAACATTATATCACCAAAAACTATAATTTTATTTAAAAAAATATCACTTTTGTTAATTAAAATTTTTTATTTATTATATACCTTTATTACATAGTAATAGTAAATAGGATGAAATGATAATTATATATATAAATTTAACTGTTGCTTTGAAAATTATATGTAAAAGACTGTATTTTTAATATAAAACAAACAGTTTTTCCAAATGAAACTCTTGTTTTTTAAGTATTGACTTAAATATGAATTTAGTCTATAGTTTAAATGTGTTAAAACGCAAACACAGTAAACAATAATTCAAATGAGATATGAATTATTAATTTTTAGTTATAAACAATGTTTGATATAATAAATGATTTACAAGACATTACTAATAATAAACACATATATGACATAATAATCAATATTTGTCGCTAAATTGTTGGACATTTAATAATAAAAATTGTCTTAAATAGTTTTAAATATATTTATATAATATATATTTATATTTAGTGTATATTATATATACTGTAATATCATATATGATTTTGTGGCAGATTCTGGCAGTGAAAGATCAAAGATTGATGAAAACATCTGCCAACAAATTTTATATGTACTGTACATCCAATATATAAGCTATAATATATGCAAAGTTTATTTCACTCCTAAATGGATAACTGATCCCTAAATATTGTCACATCCGATAAGTGACTTCATTTACATTCAGCTGTCTTTGGTGTCACCACACCCTTCAATTTAGGAGACGACTTATTAGGTGACGACTTATTAGGTGACGACTTATTAGATGACGGCTTATCACGTTTTGACGTCAACTTTAACTTTTTGGGCGTAAATTCGGTGATAATGACTGTCACGTTATTGACTGTCACTTCCTTCACGTGTGCATTATTGCGGTCAACGTTCTTAAGCTTCGCTTTCGGACCTACCGTTCGCGGCTTTTTAGGCTTCGATGTCGAAGACGATGTGTTGGCTGAAGATGGAGTGTTGTTGTTGTTCTTTGTTGATGAAGTACTAGTTTTTGATGATAAGAATGGGCCCAACTTTGATGCTAAAGTTGGTGTCGAGTTTGAAGTACTATTTTTTGATGATGAAGAAGAAGACGAAGTCGAGTTAGTGGTCAATGACTTACTATGATTTGTAGTCACTTTATTGTTCACATTTTGATTGTTGTGTTCAACACTATTAACACTACTATTACTATTACTACCGACAGCATTGAGGCCATTGTCGGTGGCGATACTGTTCGTACTATTGTTGAGACCACTAGAAGAGGGACTGTTTAGAGAACTATTGGTCTCATCTTTACTTTTTTTGTCAATTGGTTTATCAATTGGTTTATCAGTTTGTTTGTCAATTTGTTTGTCTTTATTTTTAATGGCTTTAATAGCCTGTTGTTTGATCTGTTCCTGTTGTCTGGCAACCTGTTGGGCCACCACTTCGGGATTAATTCGCGGCTTTCGGGTTGACGTGCCTTTACGGACATCACACATGAGGCACTTGAAGGCCTCGTAACTGTTGCGGTACGTGCAAACACTGCAGTCCCACGTGTTGACCGAGTCGTCAATCGATGAGCTGCTCGATGCTGACGACGACGGCTTTGAGCTGAAACTGTTAGTCGGAGTGGCAGACAATCGCTTGAATCGCGACGAAGATCCCGACGAATTCAAATCTTTGTCCATTTTGGTCGTTCACACGTTTGCCGACCGCAAGTGGACGCACCCTTTGATTGACACTCACTGACACACACACTAACACATACAACACAACCAATAGTCCACTCAATGACCAGTTTAGTCACCAACACATCGGGTGTCGGGTCGGCAACACTGGTCAGTAAACCGTAAGCAACCAATCAATGACCTCAAAGGCATTGTTTGCACCATTGCTTTGACACTAATTCACTGTTTCATACATTATATCATTGAATACAACAAAAGTCAACACAAGAGGGAACCACTCGTCAAGACATTGATCGCAATCAAGACTTGTCTTCAAAAACAATTCAATTAATTTAAAGCTATTAATGAAATCACTTATCAATTGATTTAATTGATTCAATACTTTTAAATCATTTATTAAATCATTAAATCTTTAAATAATGTATTTAATGACAAAATGTTATCAAATCTATTGATTCATTGAATATTCAAATTTCAAGACATTGTTTGCGTAGTCATAGAAACGCTTATGTTTTGTGGTATAGAATGGCGTTATATAAATGAGAGGGAAAATAGTTATTAAAATTAATTTATATTTTAATAATTTAAATAATATTATCATTTGATTGTTAAATAAATATTTGGATAAATTTAATATATATTTATATACATTATATATATATATAATGATTATATATGAATATCAATGTAATTGTATTATAGAATACTTTTTAAATAAACTATAGTTACTATAGAATTAAAAAATCAATTCATATATATTGTTACAGTATATGTATGTGTGTGTGAGTCACCCATTAATTGGTATATACTGTATGTGTTAGTGCGTACCTGTAATTGGGTTTAATTGTAAAACTATGATAATATTAGTGTTAATATTAATACATTAGAACTGTTACGACATTAATGAACATTTACTATACGTTTCGTCACAATATGGATGTCATTACTGTATATAATAAATGTATTGTAATATTAATATTAATATAAATTATTTACACAAACAGTCAGTAAATGTATTGAACTGTCAATGAATTGCAAACATTTGATAACTTTATTCAATGGTTTTAATCAGTAATGTATTGAATACTGCAATGAAGTATAGGTTAGTGTTGTTTGACGGCAAACGGTAATCGCCGAGACATTAGTGACACCCACGAGATGTGCCGTTTGGCCGACTATTTTGTTGTCGTCGGCTTTGGCGACCACACCAAAAGTCCAACAAATGGCAAATTATTACAACGGTTCCCACAAAAGGATTGGGATGACTGTCCGTTTATCGACTCCATCGAAATGGTCAGTAATGGTTACCACTGATAGTGATACACTGTCTGACCAAACATTCATATATTATAATTATAACCAATTTGTCACTTAATTGAATTGTTTTTGTCGATTAGTTTTGTCAACCATTGCGATGGCGACTGACATCACAACCACAACAGCCGTCGTTCTTCATGTTTGTCTTGACGGACATCGACGCCAATCGTCACTACTGTGCGTGTCTTTCGTTTAATGAGACGGTTTCAATACAGCCGACCAAACACGACGACGAAGACATCGACGACGAATCCATAACATCGATGGACAGTTCGGCCAATGCTTTATGCAATGGTTCACAACATCATTCAGTTATGTTTGCCACCAAATGTCTTGTTTTAGTTTCGCGATTTAATTATCGAGATATTCTTAAGGTATGCATAAAATAACTTTATTTTTATTTTTTAATAATCCATATTATATTTTTGCAGAACTGTTTGACCACAATATACACTGCTTTTATTGAGAATATGGACATATCGTTGGAAGTGGTTGTGGCCAACATTCTTGCCTGTGTTGATATCCCACCACAAGGTTTGCACTAATTATATAATTAATGAAAAACTGTTGACATTGAAAGTAAAAAATCCCGTTTTTCTCTTGACCTCAATTCTCAAGGCGGACCTCAGATACGATTCTCAATCGGCGCTAATGACCGCCAGTGCCTACAGCCGCCACAGACCTCAACCATTCCGGTAACGCACACAACTGTCCACAACTTGTTTGAACAATTAGGAATTCATTCGGTGGTTAATTTGGTTTGCGCGGCAATGACTGAACATAAAATACTGTTTCATTCCCGCTCTTATACCCGTTTGACAGACGCGTGTCACGCGCTAACATCACTCATGTATCCATTTGTCTACAATCATGTCTACATTCCTATACTACCGCATCCTTTACTCGAAGTCTTATCGACGCCGACCCCATTCCTTATGGGCATTCATTCATCACTCAAAAATGAAGTTACAGATCTTGTAATAAATTTTATTTTTTAATTATTAAATCAATTGTAAAACTTATATTTTATGTCTTGTATTTTTGTCAATAGTTGGATGTAATTGTAGTTGATTTAGATGGCGGTTCAATAACGATACCCGATTGCCTAAGAGTGCCTCATTTTGATGAACCACTACATTCTCAATTGATAACTCATTTATGTCAAGTAATCCGTCCGCAACTCATTCAAGCTGACGATGCTTTTCCTTCTAGTCATGTCAAGCCATCGTTGCCTCAATTTTTAGTATGTTTTACTAAGAGATATACATATATTATTTATGACATCTTTTAGCATACAGTAAATGTTTTAATGTATATCTTTATAGGACAAAGAAATCAGAGCCATATTTGTCCGGACATTTGCTCAAATTCTTCAGGGCTATCGTTCGTGTTTAACCATTATTCGCATACATCCTAAACCTGTCATCACTTTTCATAAAGTATTTGATAATAAAAAATTATTATTTAATTTTTCTATAATTGACTATTTATTGAATTACTAATTTAATTGTTTATTTTAGGCATCATTTCTAGGCCAAAGAAATTTAGTAGACAATGAATTTGTAGTCAGACTCTTGGACTGTATGTTTTTCGTTACGTTTGTACAGGAAAGAGGTCTACCATACAGACAATGTGATCTCTTTGATGAAGTAATGATTTTTAATAAAATTATTTACTATTATCTAATTTTATATATTATTTAATTTACAGTTATATTCATCGCTACAGAACATGTTTAAGGATGAGATGAGAAATTCAGAAATAGTTGTTCAGCATATTAGAGAATTAGCGCAACAGATCTATATTAATGAGAATCCGACTCCTCCTCAGCCAAACAACACTAAAATTCCGTTACCAACGGATGGTGCCTTCACTCGGACTCATTTACCAACGTTTCCGATATTAAATATCGATAAAATTCAGGAAATTATAGACAACGAAAAAATTAAAAAAGAGATGACAATAGTTAGACGTCAAAGCATTAAAAATTTGAATAATGTGAGAATAGTGCCAATGGGAACACCCATATCATCGGTTAATGATATATTTGGTGCCAATCATATCATAACTAATTCTGCCCGAAGACTCGAAGTTATGCGTAATTGTATTAATTGTATTTTTGAAAATAAAATAAGTGATGCAAAGAAGACATTTCCCGCTGTTTTGCGGGCATTAAAGACCAAAAACGCTCGTTTGGCTCTTTGTCAGGAACTGTCACTTCATAAGGCCGGAAATAAAGCTGTGTTAGAGCACCAACAGTTTGATCTAATTGTGCGACTAATGAATTGTGTTCTTCAGGATGACTCGCATTTAGATGTGAACGGAGTTGCGGCCAATATGTTGCCATTGGCTATAGCTTTCTGTCGCCGATTGTGTACTAATGTCATTCAGTTTGCGTGCACTTGTATTCAAGATCACGCCGTTTGGAGTAATCCTCAATTCTGGGAACAGACATTCTATTTGGACGTCGAAATTGCGATCAAAAATTTATATAAAGAATCTTCTCATCAAAAATTATCACCAGAAAACTCTTTTGATAGTTCATCATCTTTTGACTCAAAAAGGGATAAGAGTTCTTCACTTTACGAGTTGTCAGCTCTTGAGATAGCAGCCGAACAGATGAGATTAGCGCCACAAATGAGTCCGCAACAAATCGATAATCTGATCCAAAATGAAAGCTCCACAATCTTCGCACAGGCCATACATTATGCAAATATAATGGTATCAATGAGAGTACCGCTGGAGGCCGGAGCTCATAATAAGGCCTTTAAATATAATGACAACGATACCAATTCAGTATCCAACTTAACAAACAATGTATTTGAAGGAAGTGCTTCTAATGGTTCTAATAATAATGACAACGAATCCGGCTTTGAGGAAGACAATAGAGAAAATGTTAACCAATCGGAAATTGGTTCATCTGTTCTCAAATTTGTTACACGTTTTGTTGATAAAGTGTGTACTGAAAGTGGTGTTAGTGAAGAATATATTAAACAATTACATGAAATGATTCCCGGAGTTGTGACAATGCAAATGGAAACACTTGAAAGCGTATGGCGTGAGAGCAAACGTTTGCCACCAATTACTAAACCAAAGATAACTACACCTAACTTATTGTTCGGTGAAGAGTTGACTCTTCCTGGTCTCAGGTCTTATCTAATACACGACGGTCGAGATGAGGGTCAGTGCGGAGTTCCATTCGGTACACAATTGATTCCGACAGAAGGCGCCATATTTTTGACAAATTATCGAATTATATTCAAAGGCCGACCGTGTGATCCATTTGCCTCCGAGTCGGTAATTGTTCGCAGTTTACCCATCGCTACACTAACAAAGGAAAAGAGAATTAATGTGCAATCAATTGCATCTATAGATCAGTTCTTACAAGAAGGCTTACAGTTGCGGTCAAATACTTTTCAATTGATTCGAGTGGCCTTTGATGAAGAGGTCTCATCCGATGAGATCGAAAACTTCAGAAAATGCATTAATAGAGAGCGCACTCCGCCAACAATTTTTCATTTGTTTACATTTACCTCTCAGTTGGGTAAGGCTCAGACCAAACTACTTCATCTTCAGAAGCATAACAAGAAAAACTCAACCATAAAAGGTATTGCAAAGAAAACGCTTTTAAGAACAGCACAAAAAGCGGGTTTTAAGACAAAGAATGACCGCAAAAATAAATATATAACTGATTCGTCCGGTTATTTCCCGGGAATCGCCAAAACAATGTCTCCGACGAGGAAAATGTCTGTCGACATGGCTGATGACAAGTCAGTGGATAGTGAATCCATAGCTAGCATTAACACAACAAACACTATATCTCCTTCATCGACACATATGATGTTGAATCATATGAACACCAATAATGACGCGAACAAAACAATGGAACAGTTACAAGAAATGTCTTATGTTAAAGACTATCAACGTTTATCATTGGGATCTTTAACAGCATATCATAGTTCTGGTCCGTCCAGTACTAAGCTTTCGCGTTCAAACACTGTTGTCGAAAGTTTCCGTATCTCTACTGTAAATATCAATTATTCGGTCACAAAGAGCTATCCGGGACTATTGGTTGTGCCGTACACTACCAGTGATGAAGCCATAAGACGTTTGAGTCGTTTTTATAGACATTATCGCTTTCCCGTGATTACATGGAAACACCCGCGAACTAGAGGACTGTTATTACGTGGAAGTTGTTTTCATGGAAAAGGTGTGATTGGATTGCTTAAGAGTCAGACGACCACTGGTGCCGCACATTCAATGTCATCGGAAACGTCTACTAATATTGAAAACGAGAAATTTATATCAAATATTGTTAGATTGACGCCATCTTATTTCTTAAGACATACAAACAAAATTTTCGATAACGGATCTAATCTTAGTGTTAACTTAATGCGTGATGTATCTGCCACACCAGAGACTGTACGAAAATCTATTAGTGGCACTTCAGCTGCATTTCATCGGGCAATGAATACATTAAGAAACTCTGGAGGAAAGTCGGCCATCGGTTCACAAATGGGAAAACAATTGCAAAAGTGGTCGAACACAAGTATTAAAGACAAAAATCGGATGAGTAGTGGATCAGATTTGCAAGTGTCTGCTCCATTGGATTCACAGACAAACCTAAATCGTGCCGTTCTTTATATTTTTGGAGAGAAGAATCAAATAAATAAAATCAAAACCGAATCCTTCAATAACTGTGATTTTATTCCCGTCGATATTCACGAAGTGAGAGCCGTTAAGAATTCATTTAAGAAGTTAATGCGCGCCTGTCTTCCATCGACATCACCGACCAATAATGCCGATCCCGAACAATCATTTTATCGTCAATTTGAGAACTCTGAGTGGTTATCACAGTTGCGAACAATTATGCAAATTAGTGGCGCTATTGTTGATCTGATCGACATTCAGGGTTCATCAGTAATGGTCTGTCTTGAGGATGGTTGGGATTTTGTGCCACAAATTGTTTCCATCGCTCAGTTATGCCTCGATCCATATTACCGTACATTTGATGGATTTCGTACACTAATTGAAAAAGAATGGCTGGCATTTGGCCATCGATTTAGCCATCGATCAAATCATACGGCGGCTACACTGTCATCAGGATTTGCGCCGATATTTCTACAATTTCTTGATATTGTTCACCAAATTCACGATCAGTTTCCGATCTCATTTGAATTTAATCAACATTATCTCAAATTTCTGGCCTATCATTACGTGTCGTGTCGTTTTCGGACATTTCTATTGGATTGTGAAAGTGAGAGAACAGATGTCGGTTGGATTAGTGAAGATGTGAAGTTCAATCAACACACAAAACATGACGAGTCATCTGATGAAGAAGATGACAGTCAACTGCGAACCGGTACTAATAAATCTAACAGTTCTAATAGCAATCAAAACTTCAATTACATCGGGACTTCATTTTGGGAATATTCTTCTAAAATATGGTCAAAATCTCCGCTATTCTTCAACTTTTATTACGTGCCAATCATAAGTCAAGAGGGTATGAGTAGTGACGCCGCTGTCATTAGACCATTATTTAACACGTCTTCACTAAAAATATGGGACTATTATCTAAACGAAGAGTTGGCTCATGGACCAAGTTATGACATTGAGTTAGTTGGAATGGAACATCACCGACAGGAAGTACTTGAAGCCACCACCAGTGAGTCAGATAAGAGTCAACGTAAGATCATAACTGCTTGTTATGATTCTATCATTCATTCGGAGCCAAACTGTTTCCAGAATTTGTTGCATATTATCAAAGGTCTCGAAGAGGAACTCAATTATATGCAACAGAAGTGGTTCACCGTTTGGGACAAAATTGAGATTCCGTTGATTAGTGATATTCATGAATCGATAAGTAGTCGTTCACTTCAATACAGTACTCATAAGCGGTCGACAATTGATCTTTTAATTAGAGGAAAGATGTGTGCAAACAGTGATAACTCTAATCAGTTGTATCTGAATCGCACACATAAGCTTCAAAAATATAACTACACGACACTCACCCAATGCGATCACTGCCGACATGTGCTTTGGGGTATTGTCAATACAGGACTCAAGTGTATAGAATGTGGCTTTAATTGTCACGAAAAATGTGCCGAATTTGTCACCAAAAATTGTCAGCCAAAGAGAAAACTATCGGCACAGCCCGACTCGGGCTCGGGATCGATAGTCACACAAAGAAATGGATTAGTTCGCGAACCTGTACTTAATGAGGCCATTGATGAGCACAAACATGACACAAATATCGATAATGGCGGAACTCTTACCCATTCAAACACTTTCTTTAATAACTTCATGACTGTCGTACCTGAGAACAGAACGTTTGAGGGATATCTTAACAAAAAGGGAGCTCTTCTTAAAGGTTGGAAAGAAAGATGGTTTGTATTGGATTCCACACAACATCAGGTATGAGTCATATAAATAGGAATATAATTTTTATAATTATCTTTCTATTATCTATATATTAAAAGCTCCGGTATTATGACTCTCGCGAGGATCCGCACTGTAAGGGTTTCATCGATTTGGCTGAAGTGCAGGCAGTCATACAAACGACACCGAATTCCCCAGTCTTTGACGTGAGATATCAACATTTGTTTCGTTGATTTATTGTCTGTTTATTTGCTGATAATTCACAATATCTTTCAGTTGTGTCACTCTTTTTTGTTGAACCCATAAATTAAACCTTAATTTTATTGTCTTATATTTTATCGATATCTAAGTCTTTTATTCTCTTAAATGTCTCATTTATTTATTGTTTGGTTTTTATCATTATAGCTAAAATTAAGTCGTCGGACCTATAATTTTATGGCACCGAGTATTCAAATAGCACTGGAATGGATTGAAAAATTACAGGCATGTCTTCAATAATGGTAGTCCAGTCGATCGACAATCAAATAATTTACACTATAATTGCAATCGCTTTAATGTTTTTGTTGTTGAAATTGGTTTTCATTGCAATCAATAGCAATATTTCAGTTATTAAATAATCAATAAATCAAACAATTAATTGATATATAAATGCAAAGTAAAAAATGAAAGTAATTGTCATTTTTGCAATTATTTTTTTAAAAATCAGTGATTCATACGGTGCGACATTTTTTATAGATCTTGAATTATATTAATTATTTTAAGTGTATTTGTTATTTAATTGATGTTTTAGTTCTTATATCTGTATTATCGTAATAATATTATTTTTAATGTATGTTTATGTTAATTTGAATTAAAATGCTATATATATATATATTATGTAAGAAATGTTTTTTATAATTTGAATTATGAAATAATTTTTATGTTAAATTATCGTTTGTATGCAAAAACAAATTTATGTGTATTAAGTATAACTAATACGTAAATGTATCATTTGTTAAAAAATTTTATGATATATATAAATATGTTTTTATGTTAATGTTTTTAGTTGTATTATTGAATTATTGCTTTTTTATACGATGATTATTATTAATTTTTAATGTGAAAATAAATAAATTAAAACAAATAAAATAATAAAACTGTAAATGATAGTTTTTTGTGTTTTTACCTATAACAACATACAGTGATATTAGTTATGATAATAGTGTGGTATGTTGTGGTACAGACACCATCTATGCTATCAATTATTAGATCACTAATATCGTTCATCTCATACGCTACTAATTTATCATTTGGTAATTGATTATTTCATTACTTATTTTTTGGAGTATATATTATATGCGTTTTTATACATTTTCTAAATACCGAAATATCTATAATACTGTATATGTAATGATAAAAGCTATCTAACGCTATAAACTACTGTATTAATACATATACTGTATACTACAGTATACAGTGTATAGTGAAGTATGCATACATACCATGGTAATGAATTTTGTAGGACTTAATTGTTTTTTTTTGTTGCTCTAAACATGCGGGGAATGGCCTTAACCTGTGGGTAAACACATAATACATATTTACACTGATAGTTGAGTCCGATAAATGTTAGGCAATGATAGCATGAATAGCCATCAAGAAAGAGATCGAAGTGAATGATAACAGTTTCCATATATTAAAGTAAGTGAATGGGCCGGCAGTCTCCGGGATCTCCCTTTTCTTGTTAAAACTTATTGAAGCACACAATAAGTTTGTTATTGTATGCATCCCTTCCTTCTATACCAATAATATACAGTACTGTATACTATACAGTGTATGACAATAACAGTGCTCTTTATTTTTATCTCTTGAACTCCCAGTGTGTTTGAGTCAAAGCATACAATCCTTGACAAGGCTTTCCTTTGGTTTCTCATTTGACGGAACAGTATATCTGTGTCTTTCAACTCAACTGAACTCACAGTATGACTATACTGAACACTACTTCGGGATAATTAGTTATTATTGGCATTAAGTGTCCGAAACATATACACAAATCATGTGTAGGTTTCAGCCAAAGCATACAAATATAAATTCTTCCCAAAGCTTTCTGAATCGATAAATCAAAATTTTATAAATATTTTTATATAATTTAACAGTTATTAAAAATTGTTTTGAATTGATAGTCAAAAATTAATTTCTGATTGTTTAAAATAACATATTTAAAAAAACTGTCTATTAGTTATAGTCTGAAATATACTTTGTATACACACATAGAAAGTCTATGATATTATACTAAACTAAATCTTAAATGATTTGTTGCCCACAGGCATGTCTACTACCAAACAACTACACTAATACCAGTGCTATAAGTTATATATATATAATATAGTCTATAATACAACTTAACAATAACTAACTTATAATAAGAATAATAATAATACCTTTTGCTTAAAACACTTTCAAGTCGTGGAAGTGCTTCTTCTGTTTCTCCTCTCTGTTGATGATTGACTGTTCACTTACTTAAAACTATTGGCCACACAATAGACATACACTTTCACTCATATGTCTATAATATCTTTTACTCAATTTTTTCTCTTCTCATAAATGGCTTCCGTCTCCACTTAAACAGTGAATCACTAGTTTTTAAAATTAATGGATCACTTCTTTACTCTTAACAATAACAAAATAAATTGAAAACTAAAGTGAAATCAAATAATATACGAAAACTATTGATGACTGTGTTTTGCTTCCAAAACCCAATAATAGTTGCCTTTTATTTTGTGATATAAACGGCAACAACTCATAAATACAATCCAATTCCTCATTAAAAGTGTCGTAAAAATTATTTTCAATTTTACTGTAATATAAGACAATATTCATAGACTATTAAAATTGGTTTTATATGAGTAGTAGAATAGAGACATTTTTTTAATAGATTATGGATTTTACATTACTTTTACAAATGAGACCGAAAATTGATTGAATAACTTTTGTGAGAAAAATACAATTTTATAAATAAATTTTCTAAATATTAAACACAAAATTCTGGTACATTTGCTTTCGGGAATTATACAGAAGCTATATATCTATAATATTGATATTTATAACTATATATCAATATTATAACTATATATATAATTTTTATATATAGATATATATTATATACAATATATTGTGTGCATAAAATAATGAAAGATATATTTCTCGTCAAAAACAGGCGACCAAAGAAAAAAAGAAATATATGAGAAAAACGATAACGACTTCAAAGACAATCACTTTTAAAGCTTTTCATATAATGAAGACATAAAATATTGAAAATCATTTCTATATATAATTCTTATATGTCTTCAAAATGTTTTGGCAAAACCAGAGAGAATTGCTTTGAAAAATATATTCTTCTTTTTTATTCTTCATATTGTATTCAATATTATTGTCTATCTTTTCAGTCATTCTTTTGCTAACATTTTATGTATCATTTGAACTCAATTTATATGACTTTTTCTGCATATTATAACTCATATGTGATGTCATTTATCGGACATTTGGGTCTCAAAAAAGGATAGCATTGTTTGATATAACACACAATACAATACACACATACAAAAACATTTAATGATTAATGTTTTTAACAACAAGATTGTAATCAACTATAAATGTCGGAGTATTTTATGATAAATGCTTTTCTTTGCTTATAATAAATGCACTAATTTTGCTTAACTTTCATTTGTTGTCTAATCCTATGCTAAAACCTTTTTATTATTTTTTATTTAATTATTATTTAGCTATTAATACTAAATATATGGTAGAAAACATTTAACCACAAAAATTGGAGAAATTGGAAATAGTCTTCAAAATAAACAATTTTTATGAAAACATAGAAATTACTGACTTTTGTAATATACAAACAACTGTTTCTACAATTTTATTGCATAAATGAAGTTTAAGAGACATGTGTTTAAAGTAAAAACATGTAGTTTGTAGTAATAAAACAACAATTTATATGTTATACTGTTTACACAGTGCTTGAGGCAATTGAAGATATTACGTTTTTTTGTTAAAATTAAAAAATATATTTAATAATATTGTTTAAGTTAGTTATTAATAATTTTTATATAACTTTATCATAGTACAGTAAATTATTAGTAATATGCATAACTTTTTTAATCTTTATGAGTTTAATACAGTAAATGCAAAATATTATTATTGATAGCTTAGGGAATAATAAACAGTAAGAAAGTTTCCGAAAATTTTATACTAAATTGAAATTTTTGTTGTTTGAATAAATAGTAAATTAGAAATTTCTGATCCCATATACGGTATATCTAATTATTAAATTCTGATATAATATTATTAATTATTTTTTGGTTTAAAAAATAATCTCAAATTCCTGTGCCTCCAGATATGTCTGCATCGCATAAATTTTATTTAAAAAAATCAAATAAAAACTTATTTATTATAATATAATGTCTTATTTCTGTTTGGTTTTTATATATAATAATAATAATAATAAAACATTTTAAAAGAGGCCATAAATTTATTTATCAAGTTTAAGTTATATATCATTTTATTGTTAACTGCTTTAAATGAATTCAATTAAATGCTTTAAGTGTTGGACTTTTTTTTAAAAAAAAAGATTAAAAATAATGAATTATTAAAATTACCAAAAAATATCAAATAATATATATATATATATAAAATCGATTTTTACTATTATTTAGATCTTTTCATCTCTATTGTATATCACAAGGAAAATGTTTATGCGATATATCATCAAAAATATTCGTATGACATCAAAAACATCCAAAAAGAGAGAAAGAAAGTGAGAAAGAAAGAGAGAGAGAGAGAGAGAGAGAGAGAGATCCAGGAGCTATACTGTATATTTGGTCGCAATATGAGCTAAAGTCTATCTTTTGCTTTACTTTTTCTTTATTATATTATATAAAATTTTAAACACAAAAATATCTTTGAATGCTATATATTCATAAAAATAAGAAAGTCTTCATTTATTATATTATATTTATATTTTCTTTATATTTTCAATAGCTATTCACTTAAGTCATTGACGTTATATAACAAAGTTTATTATATTTAAAGCCAAGAGTTCATATATTATTTAACATATTTTTGCTATTTTTATTTTGTTTCAGATATATATTATTGTATATTTACTGTATATTGTGTGTGTGTGTGTATGTGTGTGTGTATGTGTGTGTGTGATTATTTTTTAGTAAATAACTTATTAATCAATAAATAGATTCTTTTTAACAGATAATTTTTTATTGAATTTTGTATAATATTTACAAAGTTTTCAAATAAAAATAAAACAAATGTAAATAATAATTCAGCAAATTATTTATAAATAAATAAAAATTTGTCTTTAATATTAAATACAAAACCTTAAATCGCAAATACATCAAGTTTTTTGTGAGTTATATTTATTTTAATAATTAAATATTTTATAGTTGAATAAAGTATATGAAAATGGTTTGGAAAGAGTTTTGCACAGATAAGGCATTACCACAAAAATGTAAGAATTTCTTAACAAATAATTATGTTTTAAAATGTATTGTAAAGAAATACATTGTGAGAGACAAGAGTCTAAAGAATCTAATGTTTCGACGCCTGGAGTGAGTCCGGCGCCTAAACTGTCAGCTTATGTATTAAAAACAACAAATATTATTAGTACCCGTTTGTGCACAACCTAACTAACTAACAACAACAACAAAAACATGATATAAT